GGGGATGCAGCCCACAACCCAGGCATGTGCTCCGATGGGGAATCGAACCATGACCTCCTGGTTCATAGGTTTATGCTCAACCACTGAGCCATGACAGCTAAAAGTTTATAATTTTATGGAACAAATCTAATGTCACCAAGCAGTCAGATTATTGTCTTGGAAAATAATCTCTCCCTTGCCCACTAAGACAAAAACAAAACCACTCTTCAATTGTTACCATATTAGAATGAGAAAGTAGGCTCAGGTACTAATATGACCAGGAGACAGAGCTAGTAAATTGCTAAGCTTAGTTCTGAGCACTTTTTAAAGGTGCCTTTGTATCTTATTATTATCTTATTAAGTGATTGGTATTTCTAACCAGGTGCAACAACATCTGCTATGAAGCTAGAAAATTTTCATGCTCCAGATGAGGGCATGCACAAAATATAGAATTCAGAACTTTTTCATTAGAAAAGATAACATTTCTCATTTACATTTGAACAGATTTGCCAACAAAGACAAATATGCTAAGTCTAAACTGAACAGTCTCAAAGGGCACAGTGAAAACTACCACATTAGCTGAATGATTTCAGCAACTCTAAAAACAAAGACTCAGATCTCCTTTACGGCCTGCTGTTTCAGCCTGGAGTCTAAAAGACTATCTGTCTACTTTGTGTCTGACTTATTTTCCTGTCAGACAGGAACTGGAATTTGAACTTTGCTCTCCAAAAGCCAAAGGCCAACTAATTTAGAAGGAGACTCTCAAAATCAATGATGGTTTCTTCTAGTTTCATTAGTTCTGTCTAAGGTGATTAAAGGATTTGATTCTCAGATAACCATGATCCTTATTGCTATTTTTTACAAATCACATTAATTTCTATACTTAGTTCTGATCAGTTGTGGCATTCCTGGGGCAAGTCTGGATTCATGCAGCATTCCAACCCTGGATGCCTTTTCAAGTTTCCAACAGAATACTGTGCTGGTGAGTGATGATACCTTTATTATAGTAGCCCCAAGGTGTGGAAGTTGTTTCCTGTAGTATAGACTCAGCCCGACCCTTCCACTTGTTGAAACATCTGCAAATACTTTTTTCATTTCAGAGGCATCTGACCACAGCTAGCCTCCCATCTGGATTGCTTCCTTTTTCCTGATTGCTCATGCAAGACATCAATAATCTAGGAAGGCATTTAGCAAGAGAGAAACTGGAAGGGCCTGTGGATTAGAGGGGAGCACCTGGAGGTTAGTTCTTAAGGGTTTTCTCTCATACTCATTCATTAATTGATTCATTCAACCATCATCATGGATTGGGTGGCACTAGCAATGCAAATAACAACAAGCAGCAGTTTCTGTCCTCCAACAGGAAACCATCTATTGTATGCTGCATTTACCGTCTTGAGGTAGGAAATTGTATTAATCAGTTTACAGTAATAAACTACATTTACCAAGTGTCTTCTATGTCTAAAGTTCCACAATTGCTTTAATTCTTATCTTTGGTAGGTATAGGGTTTATGGAATATTTTGCTAAATCTCTTTGTTTCCCACCTTGAAGCTGCATAAAATTCAAAGCAATACTCTCTAAAGGCTTTTGTAAGTAATAATAAATAATTAAGAAATACCACAGGAATCTTTACTTGTTAAGGGAAAGGATCAGTTGTATAGTGCAAAGTACTCATATCCCTTCATTTGTTTCATTTGCTTTAGACTATATATTAAGCTACAAAACAAACTGCTTAACTATTGTGAGAAAGAAACCATATTTAAAAGGTGTTAATGCAGTTGGGTCATTTTTATGCTCTTATATGATATCAATTCCAAGTTTTAAGATATACTTATATTATGCACACATGGGCACATTTCAGCATTGCATTTAAACTCTCATCTTATTATAATCAAATCATACAAAGATCTAATTAACTCTGTCTTAGGAGTTGTTGAGCAATAATTATACCTTCAAAGCACCAAGAGTGTTAAGGTGTATATAGGGTGTGGCTCATGCACCCAGGATTTCAAAACCACATGGTTCTTCAGGTCCTGTTGGGGCTCATCTATTTGCACATTTCCCCTGCAGGAGTTTGGACTAATCAGGTCACTACATCCTGACATTGCAGTCCCTATCACTCATTGTTTGTAACATGACATAATGTCAACAGACCATGGGGGAGTTAGCAACAGGAAAAGGAAAAGGCCATCCCCAGGATTCAGCAGGACATATATCCTATATCAAATCATCTGATACCAAATTCTACAAATGAGCCCGGCCAAAGGGTTGAGTCATACTGTCTGACTTATCATGTTCTCTAGTTGCAATGCAATATGGAGGCAACCTGTTGTGAGTTGACAGTTCTTCCAAGTTTGCTAAAACTGAAAAGGCAAGTTGTTGCTCTATCAGTGCTGCTTTTTGCTGCAGAACATTTCACATGGCATCATGCATTGGCTAGTCTTCATTTATCTAGACATTCATTGGACATCTTGGAAGCTGATAGGGGTTGGTTCACTTACTCCCCATCCCCCAATGTTCCCTGTCTTACTACTCATAACAGCAATGCTATTAAATACAACAGGAAAATACATCTCAAGGGGCAGTGGGAGCTAGTTGCCTGAGAACTTGGAAGAACAAAGAGAGCCACTGAAACCTTGTGGTATTTTGTTCAAATTAGAAAAAGACACCCCTTCCTCAGCCCTATGTAAAACACATGACTTAGCAGGTGAAGCTAGAGGCTAGAGTTCAATGACTACCCAACTCCTCTGCCAGGTACTATCATACATACAGTCAACAAACTGTGCAAGTGTATGGAACCCTGGTTAAAACAAACAAATGGGGGCATTTATAGCTTTAAAATGATTGCAGAAGGCATTAAGAAAGATGAGGGCAACTTTAATATGGAGAATGATGAAAACAGACAGTATTGCATGGTTTTCTTATGATTTTTTAAATAGAAGAGGGCTGATTAAGGATGGTAACTGCCTTTTGATTCAAGTTAATACCACGTATCGCTCTGTGGTGACTTTTTCTTTCCCTCTCAAGGGGTCTCTTGGAAAGACCAGGAACCAAAGATGTATGTAAGGTATTGCTATTCCTAAGATGATCTGTATTTAACTAGAGACCAAAAACCTTGAAACATTAAGCCAGTTTTGTCTATTTACTGCTCTATCCCAAACACAGAACAATGCCTGACACACAGTAGGTCCCTTAAAATGTTGATTAAATCGCTAATCCTAAACTTTCAGTCATCGAGCAACAGGAAATTACAGCAAGAAGGTCTCTCACCACAAATCAAATTAGGAGTCTATCATAAATTAGTTTTCTCTTTGGTACTTCAATAGGCCAGAGGTTTCAATCCTCTTATAAAATACCATCACCACAAACACTACTCGAATAAGGATTATTTTTACAAACTTCCATTGTGCATCATGAACAGCTTGTCCACTGAACATTGAAATAATGTCTATAAGCCAAATATCAAATATTTAATGAAAGGATACAGCCTCCCACACTGTATTTCAGTACCTGATAGTCTACACATGAAAAAATGTGGTGGCACAGTTGTATTTAAACATTATTTTACACTTTCGCTATTTTATATATAGTTGCCATAACAGTGATGTATTATTGATAGTGAATGAATAGATTATCTCCCTCCAAAGATCTCCAAGTACCTGATGAGTAAGGAAAGGTCCTCCCCACCCCTCTGGTGAAGTAGGTATGCTGTCAGCATTATTCCCATTGCACTGGTCACACATGAGTCAGTGGCAGGGCTGGCATTACTCTTGCATGACACTTTCATTCACAGCTCTAATCCATCAAAGAATAATGGCTACACATTCATTCTTTCCCTCATTCCTCCTTTCATTCAACATTTGACATAGTTCGTTAGGCAGGTAGGCTCAATCTCTAGTTCCTTACTGAACTCACATCATATAAACATTACAATCTTTAAAAAAAAATTGATTATAACAATTATTTAAAATTTAGAGCAGAGGTTTTTCTGCACATAATGATTAATCCTAATTGTTTCATACTTTCATACCTACCAGTGAGTCACATGTATGCTAAGGAAATGACTGAAATACAAAAAAATTTAAAGATATACTTCTCTCGCCCAACTGGCATGGTTCAGTGGTTGAGCATCAACCTATGAACCAGGAGGTCACCATTCAATTCCCGGTCAGGGCACATACCCAGGTTGCAGGTTTGATCTCCAGTGGGGGGCATGCAGGAGGCAGCCGATCAATGATTCTTTATCATTGATGTTTCTATCTTTCTCTCCCCATTCCTTCCTCTCTGAAATCAATAAAAATATATTTAAAAATAAAGAGAACTTTAAAAAAAGATATAATTCTCTCTTATGCTATGGATCTTAATCATGTGTCCATAAAGCTTATGTTTTCAATGCTTGCCTGGCACAGCTAAATACTTGCGTTTTCTGTGTCTAATTAGAGGTTTCCGCTACGTATTATAGCTGAGTTCGTACAAGATGTTCAAGACCATGAAAAGATGAATGTAATGGCTTCCTCGTGTCATGGTCTGAATTTTTTTCAGTTCATTTGTCCTTTTCAGTAACCTTACTGTTTGTACTCTCCCTTACTGAATTCACAATTATCCCCCTTGCCAGAGCCTGCCTCCAGACTTCACTGTATAAATTCAATTTCATGCACGTATATGCAAGCCGGGTGCAGCGCCTCTTACACGAGGTAATAGCAACAAGCTCAAGGCACATTTCAGGACCTCTGAGTTCCATGTTGCGGTGCTTTTTAGACAGTTACCTACTCCTGGGCGCAGTGCAAGACACTGATTCACAGGGGTCATTTTCCGTGTGCGCCTCGCAAACCGGTTTGCTCATAGCATCCACTCCCCTAACTGTGCAAGTCGAATTTTGTACGCATCTTCTCTGGCTCCCCAGCCCTCGCGCGCGCCCCCCGCTCCCCTGCCCTCGCCGCCCCTGGGAAGAGTTCTGACGCTCCCCACGGGCACTGCCTGGAAGGGCTGGTGCTCCCGCTGCCTCCACCCGGGCAGAGCCGGCACCGGCCCAGGCGGCGGCTGCGTGACAGGCAGCCCTTCCCGGCCCGACGCGGCGATAACTCAGACTGATCTCATCGCCGGGCGTCACGACACGCGCTTCCTCCGCTGCACGCGGCGTAGCGTGAGAGGCGCCGGCGGCCCGGCCCACCCGGGAGCTGCGTGCAGCCAGCCCGCCCTCCGGCCCGCAGAGCAGAAGCCCGTTCCACCGCGGGCAGCGCCGGTTCTCAGCCGTCAGAGAGCTGACCCCGGACGTCAAACACGAATCTCATCCCCCGCCCCCCTGCAAGCGGCGGCCTTCGCACCATTCAGCCCCCGCGGGCCCTGCCCCTCGCCGCCCCCGAGGCACAGCTGCCACCCCACCCCGAGGTCAGAAGGCGCCGGGTCGCCGGGGTCAGTCGCCTGGCAACGCAGCGCAGCTCGGCTGCTGCGCACCCGGTTCCCGGCAGCAGCCCCACCCCCACCCCCGGCGGGGCGCTGTGGGGGGTCTCTTCCCGGGTGTCCCTGCCGGGGGCTGGCGGACCGCCCGCGCCCCCTCCTGCGCAAAAGGGCGGGGCGCGAGGCTGCCACGCTACTGCGGCCGCCCGGCCCGGGACCCCCCGACGGAGCGATCGGGCACGGCGGGCGCCAGAGCCGCCAAGGGAGCTGAGTAGGGACCCCCGGGCGAGACCGATTCCTCGCCCGCGTCTCCCTGCCCCCCGCCCCCCCTTCCCCGGAGGTGTCTGCTTTGCAGCAGCGGAGGTGGAAACTTTCCGGCATTAAGTTGGGGGCATCGCCCGCTCGGGCTGAAGCTGGCAGGGGACGCGGCGCGCCGGGGGGCGGAGCGGAGTCTGGGATCCTGGCAGGACTAGGCGGCCGGGTCGGCACGCGAGGCGGTTCCGGCCCCCGGGGAGCCCGGGCGCGCACGGAAGCGGGGAGAGCAGGCGGCGGGGGCGGGGCCTCGGGGTTGCGTGACCTGCCTGCCTGGCGGCCGCACGCACTTCGTGCCCGGGGCGGCCCTGGCTGCCGCGGGGCGGGCGGCGCAGGTGCTGGAGGGCGGCGCCGGTTTCCACTTTTACCGGCCGGCGGGGCGGGGAGTCACGCTATATTTCTGGGACGGGGAGTGAGTTCCCGGGGAGGACACAGCGTCTCCTTGTTATCGGAGCGTGGGTAACACTCGGTCATAAAACCCGCTCAGCCAGCATGTGTGAAACGCACGGGGAGCAGACTGCTCGGTCCATGAGCAGCCAGGCCAGGGAGGCGTTCCAAGGCCAGCTTTACGCGTGCACGGCGCGCAGGTGCGGCTGGCGTGGCAAGCTCGCACGGAAAGGAACCGGAGCGCAGGCTGCCGGCTTCGGGGCACGCAAGTTTTGTCTCCTCTGCACGAAGCTTATTAATAACAGGCATGGCTCCGTGCATGCTGTCATGCCTCCTAGAAGCGTACTTCCCAGTGTGTTTTGTTTTAAAATCAGAGGTGCCTCAGTTCTCTGGCACAGGAACTGGCGAGGACCTCCCTTAAACGTCGACTCCAGAGTCCCACGGGCATTAAAAAAAATGAAAGAAAAAGTTACAGATGTTATGTATAAAGTGTCAGAATCTAAGTCCCTTCACAAGATCCCATAAACAAAATGTGTACTTTGCTCAGACATATTATTTATATAATTCCAGTGTTTGGAGATTTGTTGATAAATTAAGGTTGGAGGGCAAGACAAAAATACGAACACCAAGACAGATTCATCATACAAACCACTCCAGGCAACTGAAAGCTCGCAAAATTCCACATTAGCTTATTTTCTACTTAAACTTTGATTTGGTGGATCTATGCTCTTATTTCCCTATTTACCCGTAAGCCTATAATGCCTAGCTACACACACACACACACACACACACACACACACACAATTTATTACACAAGTAACACACCATTATTGAAGAGGGGGATTCTCTGGGGTTAGGATACCTAGTGTCCACTGTAAAATACACATGTTTGCCTCCCAGTTTGTGTGGAAAGAGAGAGCCAGATTCACTGTGTAATTAACATGTTTTCCCGGCTAATTCCGACGCTCACTTAAGTTTATGTAGGAATGTTTGTCGGTCTAGCACTCTTTCCTCCTGGAACAGAACTGTCCCTCTTCTTCAGACTCTGCCCCTATTTTTCTAGACATGTAATTAGGAAGGGAGGCGTCCTCATGTGTGGCCTGGCCTCCCTGGTTCCCACAATTGGCCAGGAGGCATGTACCTGACTCCTTCTGGCTTCGGGGATTTGGTCAAGGAGCTGATGTGTTACCCAAGAGGTGCCAGCCATTTCCCGACATTCTTCTAACTGTAGGTTGGGAGTGACAGAGGTCTCCTCTCTTTCTCTAGGTGGCGAAACTGGACTGTCGGCCACCACTGACCTGCCATGTGCTGAGCCTGTAAAGGAGACCAACTTTCATAGAGTGATAGACTCAAAGGGCTGAGAGTCTCTGTGGCTTTTTAGAGTTCCAGAGTTCTTATGTGGCATTCTCAAGGCAGTCCTGTTTCCTGCTTTCTGGAAGCTGGGTTATTCAGCATTTCTGTTGATTCTGTGAGGTACTCTGGTATCCTAATAAAATATCCATTGATAAAAATAATTAACAAAATGTATAGAATGCTATTTGGAATGCACTTTACAATCATGTTATTTTTAACTTGCTTTTTTCCACAGAAAAATCGACTTGGGACATTCACCATCATTTTTAATAGCTGCACGTCTTGTTGTTTGATAAACCAATTTGTTTTACATTTTGGTATTTCCAGTTTTTAAACATTATAAATAAGGCTGTGATGAACATTAAGAAGAACTTTTCCAGAAGCTTCCAGCAACCGTCTCTTGGAGCTGGTTTGGTCAGAATCGGGTCATAAGCCCATTCCATTTAAACTACCAGTCAAGGGCCAGGGCAGGGGGTTTGACTAATCTGAGTTCATTTCTGGAGTTGGGCTAATTTACATGTGCTTATAGGGTAGAGTGGGAATTTTGTTCAATAATCATATTCTTAGAGCCAAAAACAATTCAGTACACAAGTCATTCCTGCACAGATGACAATACATATGAACTCTTAGAGAGAAATGCTATTTAAACATTTTGACCTTCATTTTAGTAGGTACTCAAGCTTACACTGCACACAGAATGGATTCAAGAATATAGAGTATAAACCAAAAAATAGTATTTTGTAGTCAGAGCCCATTCCAGACCAGTTACTTGGATTTCAAAATACACAAAGTAGCTTTATACAGAGATCCCAAACTGTAAATGTCGATGAACAGTTACAAAAACACACCAGTACTAGGAAAGAAAACCCAATCTAGATGTTGTTGGGAAACGTGTGTTGGGGTAAGTACAACAAAGCAAGTGGTTGCTTGTAGTTGACCCCTTTTTTTGAAAACTGGAAGCTGTGTTTGAAAAGACACGAAGAAACTAAGTCTAAGACAACATTAAGTTTCCAGAATTAAACACATTTTGGGTATTTACATATGTTGCCAATCCACAGTAGGCTGATGCCCTGTGGGTACTGGCTGGCTGGCAGAGTCCACTAATACAAATACAGGAGGCCCATGTGCTTCTGCTTAATCTCACATTCAGTCCAAGGCCACTTCAGTGCTTATGGGTTGGGCCATGCATTTGGCCACTTCTATCTTTTGGGCGAAAATAAGCAGTAAGTAGGATCTGACTGAGTTATGTTTGGGAGTATTCTCAACAAATAAGACATGTATGAAGTACGTGGCAGATAGAATGAGCCCAATAAATGTTAGCTTTTTAAAAATTCTGTACTTGCATTGGATGGAACCCAGAAGTAGCAATGGAAGCTGTGATTGCCACCCTGGAAGGCCTGCTTACAACCATTTTATTCAAACTTTTGAGGGGATAGCACTCTGTTCTGGCTCACAGGATAAAAATAAGGTGAGCTAACTGTAGTTTTGCTATGCTCCCTTTGTACAATTCTGGGCTCATTTTGAAATTAGCAATCTTGGGTAGATTTCCTAGTATTTTTATCAGACTTGCAGATAAAGTACCTTTTCTCTCACATGCTTTTCATCAGGGAAGGGGGAAAGGAGAGGAGGAAGTATACTATGAATTAAAATGAATGGGATGAATGACAATGCCCTGTGGGATAAATATCTTAGGTAAATTCATAACAGAAACAAAAGTATAGACACTGTATTAACATTTTAATATTAAAACACAAAGGTCTGTGGACCACGTGGAAAGCCCTAGTTTAGTCATTTTATAGACTTTGTTCCCCAAACTAGGGGACGTTTTTTTCAGGGGTCATTGACCCACACGGGAAAATAATAGTCACAGAAGAGGTTAAATGTAACTTGGTTCTCACTGGATTATTTTTAAAGATATGGTTAAAAGGGAAACTGCTGCCCTAACCGGTTTGGGTCAGTGGGTAGAGCGTCAGCCTGTGGACTGAAGGGTCCCAGGTTCGATTCTGATCAAGGGCATGTACCTTGATTGCGGGCACATCCCCAGTAGGGGGTGTGCAGGAGGCAGCTGATAGATGATTCTCTCATGGATGATGTTTCTAACTCTCTATCCTTCTCCCTTCCTCTCTGTAAAAAAAAAAAATAAATAAAATATATTTTAAGAAAAAAAGTGAAACTGCTGATTTAAAATTTAAGAACAGGATAATAAAAAAATTAAAGACTAGGATAAAACAAAACCTTATTCAATATATCCAATGATGGGAATATTTTAAATTCTACTTCAGTCAATATGGCCAATAATGTGGTGAGAGAAAGAAGTGGAAAGAGAAAAAGGATAGGGAAAGAAACCTTGACAGAGGGAGAAACCGACACCAACCGAGAGCCAAGAAAAACACACACCAACACTGGGGAGAAGCTTATTGGATTACTTTTTTAATAGGCCTATTTTGTAACACTCTGTCACACTCTTCATCATGTTGTGATCTTTTAACTGCTATTCTTTAACAAAAGCTATTCACAATTTATCAACTTTATCCTTGAAATTCTTATAGTGCTTACCACTGTTCAACAGAACTTTCTTTGATGATGAAAAGTTCTAAATGTATGTGCTGTCTTTTGCAGTAGCAACTTATAATTACTGAAGATTGAAATATGGCTACTGCAAAAAGGAATGTAAGTTTTTATTGTACTTCATTTAAATTAGATAATCCCATGTGGCTCTCTTATTGGACAGTGCCGGTCTAAGGGACATTTACAAGGGAAGGAAAATTGGTCTCAAGGCCAATAAGCAGGCTGTACTTGACCACTTCACTGGCTGTCCTCTGCCTTCCTAATCCTTTGTTCAGTCCTCTGTGCTTCTCTCCCCCAGATGAAGAAAGATGCTTTGAGTATAAAGGTGTTCTCTTTCTGTATAAACAGAAAGTTGCTGGTAGACATTGGGGCAAAAATAACAGCCAGATTAAAGTGTACAGGGTACATACATCTATTTCCAAGAGTTTAATTTTTTTTCCTTTTCATATCTTTATTGTTGATAGTATTACACGTTATTTCCAAGACTTTTAGTGCTTTGAGGAACAAGGCTTTTAGAAGTGTTCAGGACGTCATGCTGTCATTTTCATTAATAATAGCTATCAATCAGCAGTCTGACTCCTGTTCTAGCAATGTTCTGCAACATTTGATCATTTTTCTCAATCTACTTTCTAATGAATTTTCTTTGTATTCATTCAACCTTACTTCATTCAGTAGTGACAAGCCTCCTTCCCTGCGAGCGAGTAGTGGATATTTTGTTTCTTGCAAGAGCTGCATTTTGGACCTCATATAATCTTCAAAATGGGAGCGACCTGGACACTGCAAATCATACCAATGTCTGCCCCTGTCTGGGTTAGTCAGTCCCCGAGCTTCACCCCATCCTGGTAGGCACTGCTCGTCGCATAGTGGGCTGTCAACAAATACCTGCTTTATGAATGAAGGAAAGAAAGGCAGACACGTGTGTGGGTGGGCAGTCTTTTAAAAAGAAATAAGTTGTGGACCAGGGGGTCTCAAGATACCTTTAAAAGAACGTCTTTATTGTTGAAAGTATTACAGATGTCCCTCCCTCTGTTTCCCCATGGACCCCCTCCATCCTGCCCCCACCCCCAAACCCCCACCCCCGGGCTTCACCAAATTATTGTCTGTGTCCACGGGCTTTGCATATATGCCTATAAGTTCCCCCAAGATAGCCTTGGGACGGAACCTCTCATTTGGACTGCTCCTGGACTAGGACGAAAATGTTACCAACGTCTTCTCAGTTAACTCGCCTCCGCTGCACTGAGACCAGCGAGTCCCCTGCACACCCTTGACCTCTACAGGCATCGCTCCCCTTTCCGCCCAAGAGCAGGGACTGCCGCGTCCTCCACGCGGGCCCAGGACCAGGGCGAGAGGTCGCCGCACCGAGGCTCCCAACCCAGGAGGCAGGCTGGGCGGGCTCCCCGCACCCCCGGTCGCCGCCCCGACCCCAGCCGCCCGCTCCGCCCCGCCCCTCCCCGCCGTCCGGCCTCTCGCGCACTCAGCGTCAGACGAGCCCTTCGCCCGGACCCAACGCGAGCTTCCCGCTTCCGCCCCGAGCCCGGGGCCTCGCGTGGGCCGTGACGCCACCGCGCCCTGACGTCACGCCGACGTGCAGCGCGGTCTCCCAGGAGACTGGGGAAGCCGTTTCGCACCCGGCGGCGTCCTGGTCTAGGTGAGAGACGGCGAGTGGCTTCCTGAACTGCGGGGGGGACCCGGTTCCCCGGGACGCAGTTCCGGCGCGGAGGCGTGCCGGCACCGGGAGAGGGCCGGAAAGCGGGGCGCGGCGCCCCCTCCTGTGCCCCCTGGCTGGTCCCCGCGAGCCCGCCCGCCTGGCCCGGCATCCACTCCCCCCCCACTCCCGCAGTGCGTGGGGGGGGGGGGGGGAGGTTGGGTGGGGATGGCGGGGGCTCCGCGCCGCGCCCTCCGCCTCCTCTTCCTGCCGCGGCGGGTCCCGCGGGAACGGGGTGAGACAGGGACACATTTCACAGGCCTTCCAGCAGTTTGGCTGGCCTCGCAGTTGGTCTTTGTTTGGAAAAGTCTGTCGCTCAAGAAAGTCTTAGGACAACTCCCGCTTCACCTGACCCTGACCTGCTCCTTTTGGGTGACTCACGCCAGGGGGATAGTTCTTTACGAACCGGCCTGAAAACGGGACGGGAGCTAACGGCCCATCGTGACCCTGGCGTGCGGAAGAGAATCGGAAGTGAACAGTCAAGAACATTGCTGTGTTTTTGACATTTTCCTCGTGACCCTGTTAGAGAGAGAGAGAGCAGGTTCAGAAACACCTTACATAGCTGCTGCCAGTCATCACCGCACCTCTTGCCAACGGACAGCCGACACGAGTTTAAAGTGAAAGAATAAAAGGAGCTCATTTGATAAAACATGCAAAGTAATGTAGGAAAATTAAAATGAACAAATTTCCCTGCGGCCAAAAGGGAAAGAGACCTTTCCCCTCCCGATGTGGAGAAACTTCTTATTTGTGAATGCTCCCTCTATTCCTTTAATATGCATGCAAAGCTTTTAAAGACCCATCATGTTTTTCTTGAGGACCGGGGAGCCATTTCTTTAAAATGTAAATATCAAGGAAATTAACTCCCCTATTTCCATATCTCCTAGACTAGAGTTTTACTTTAGGTGCCTTCTAGCAACCACCTCCTTTGTCATAGAGATTTGCATTCCTTAGAACAGATGCAATTAGCTAGAATAGATGGCTACTTGAGTTACCAGGTGATTTAAAATGAACTATTAGAGAGTGTATAGCAAGCTGTACTGAAGACAAGTTACCATTTATCTTGAGAACAAGCGTGTGAGCAGTGGTTCTCAACCTTCTGGCCCTTTAAATACAGTTCCTCATGTTGTGACCCCCCAACCATAAAATTATTTTCGTTGCTACTTCGTAACTAATTTTGCTACTGTTATGAATAGTAATATCTGATATGCAGGATGGTCTTAGGCGACCCCTGTGGAAGGGTCGTTCGACCCCCAAAGGGGTCGGGACCCACAGGTTGAGAACCGCTGGCACTGTAATGGATTGTATCTGCTTGGTTGTATAAAAAGTGGGATTTCTTTCTGTCTCTGTAATCTCGTTAGCAGATTGATTGTGATGTGCCTCACAGTGTGGTTAAATGCATATTCAATAATGAAATTGCTATCTGCTACAGAGAGGTTTTCTGGGTTAGCAGAATATTTTATTTTTAATTTTCCCTCAATAATCAGAACCTGCCAATTCTTCTCCTTTGGTAGAATAAGACCACAAAGTTGGGATAGATTTACAAACAATCAAGGTTCTAAATCAAAACTGCCTTGTTTACACTGTCACCAGATCCATGCTCTCAAATAATTTTGTGGGTGGAATTTTGTGGGTGGTAATTTAGGAGAAATTCTCCCAATAGAGTTTAATTAAGCTGATGCCATCTTATTTTACTATTGGTGAGTCCATTGTAAAATGGCAGAAATGAGAATAATGAGCCTTTTGTGAATAATGAGCTCTTGCCACATCACGGTGACAGTCTGCCAAACATCACATTATTATGTACTTGGTCATGTGGGCCAATGTTAACTATGTCAGTTAACTTTACCCCACAGCCAGCTGCAGTTAACTTTACCAAACACACACACACACACACACACACACACACACACACACACACACTATATTTATATGGGAAGACAGATCATTAATTATTTGCTGTAAACAGCAGCTCATTAAAACAAGGGATTTTATGCTAATGGGATAGGGAGGGAATCCTCTTTTCTACCAATAGTTGCATAATTAAAACAAAAAATACTGCTACTATAAGAATTTTTGTCACATACAATTTACCTGCTGCCTTGGAAAGGCTGGAGTTGCTACCTCAGACTCCTTGGCCTCTCCTGTCAAAATCTTACCCTGATCAAAAGCAAACCACCTCAGGAGCCTTCAGTAATACTCCTCTCCTAGATTGTTCTTTGTCTACAACTGTTGGCCCTTAGGCCTTGCTCCCTGCTGTGGAATTGGGCCTATATCATACTCTGCTGCCCCCTTCACTCCTTGGGTATATATAAACATCTCTCACTCATGAAATTGGACGGTCTATTCTTCCTCCATATTTGAGAAAGATGAAAAACACACACACGAAACCCAAATGCTCCTCCATTCTGTGTGGTTTTATGAAAGTAGTGATAGAGTGTTATATCGAACTAGAGGCCCAGTGCACAAAATTCGTGCACAGGTGGGGTCCCTAAGCCTGGCCAGCGATCAGGGCCTATCAGGACCATCTCGCCCAGTCCCAGTCAGGGCCAGGCCAGGTGGAGCCTGCCAGCTGCCAGCCAGGGCCTGGGGGCCTACTGGCTGCCAGGCGGGGCCTGCTAGCTGCTGGCCTGGGGGACCACGGGAGGTTTGCCGGCTGGGGGGAGGGACCAGGGGAGGTTGACTGGCTGTGGGAGGTTGGCTGTGGAAGTGCACTGACCACCGGGGGCAGCTCCTGTGTTGAGCAGCTCCTCTGTTGCTCAGTCTTAACAGTCGCGTAGGCTTTTATATATATAGATTATTTTATTATAAAATGAAAATCTATTAAAAGTAAAATACCTACACAAAAATAATAAAGATGTTAATTTTTAGTTAAAATTGACACTTGGCTTCTCATACTTTGATGTTTCTTTTGTTCAGGGCCTGCATATCATATTTAAGCTGATCATAATTTTTTTAAACTACATTCACGTCACAGTTGCTTTTCTTGTCTGCCAAACTAAAATACCATATTTACACATTTTTCTCATAGCTTTTCAGAAAAAAAAAATCTTGAAATAAATGGTTCCATTTAAGATTTTATGATCCTTATTTTGTATTTGCAAAGCAAATAATTAGTATTAAACCACCACAGAAATTACAATGGGACCATTAATTTCTTTTTTTTGTTAAGTGTGTATACATTTTAAAAAAATTTTAAATTCTTTATTGTGGAAAGTATTGCATATGTCTCTAAAGAAAGAAAATATTTGCAGCTAGTATAAGCAGTCTCTGTAGGTCTTTTCTGTTCTATTGGCCTAATAACTAACTGAGGAAACCCCACTTGTACTGTTTAACACTGATGGAATAAACATCTGTTTGAACAGTTATCACCATTCTTCTTCCAATACTACCAAGAATTTATATCTCGTAATTTGAATTTTTTGACATTATCCAATTCTGACTATTGCCATCAATATTTTTAGATTATTTTACTTCAGAGCTTCTTCAGTGTATTTTGGGAAATTATGGATCGTCACGTTCCCATGCATGCGTTACCTGAAGAAATCCAAAAGGTATGATATTATATTGTGTTATTACAAAATAACATTGGAAACCTGTTAGCAGGTAGATAATTCTAAAATTTGGGGAAGTGAATTCAGAGGTTCTGTATTTATTTTGGTCAGGGCATCTGCAATGAATTGATGGAGTGGGGAAGGGAATAATCCTAATGGTCAGAATTGTGGAATTCAATTCAGTGCAGAGTATTTGACCTGTGAACAAAGGCAGATATACAATTTCAGCACAGTATTTGACCAGGTGTTTGCGGAGCCTGATAGTAATATTGAGGTATTTTCTAGCAGGTTTGCAGAAAGAAGTTTTTTTTAAAAAACAAACTGAAATCAATGAGTCTGTTTAAAATTTTAAATGATCATTAGTCTGTATTTGCAAAACAAATAATTAGTAGTAAACCACCACAGAAATTATAGTTAGCTTGTAGTTTTTTATGATGCTAAGTTTTGAAGTCTCTCTATATAAGTGTCTATTTCAATTTCACCTTAATTCTTAGACGAGGTACTGTTTTAAGCCTTTTCATATATGTATCAGTTCATTTAATCTAGTTAACAATTCTTCAGATTTTCTTGTTCTTCTCCCTGTTAGTTCATATCTGTCCTCAGGCAAACTCATTACTCCTATATTTAGTTTGGCATTGCATATATTATTAACAGTATAATTTTAAAAATGTCTTTTTGAAACTGATTGACAAATTGTGAATTAAATCTCAGACCTTAGCTACCATTAATCATTCAGGTTTTTCAGTAAATCTACAGTCAGCTCTTAACAGTCTGTTATTTTTTAATTGAAAAATTGCAGTCAGCTCTCAGATATGCTTTTATTCTTTGTTCATGTTGCTTTGGGCTTCCTGTTACCATTGATTTAACTTGATGCTTACTGTTACTGTTACTGATGCTTACTGGAGATTATATAAATCTCCAGATTTATATAAACTGCAGCCTTGCAGGAACTGGAAGTGAAGTCCAATTACCAGAAAAGACCTTTTCAACCTCTGCATTTAATTTGCTCTACCTTTTAAGTTAGATGTAAGAGATAGAAAGCACAAAGAGAGCTCAGCTATGCTATGCTTACCCGAGAAATGCTGCTTTTATGTGTTTGTAGACATGGAATGTCCCTCCTCTCTCCCTCAACTGAATTCCTTCCATATACTACCCTGTGTGGTAGAGATGAAAAGAAAACAAAACCATCTGCAAGAAACAATTCCCATACTTCAGATTCCAGTCATCTGTCAGGAAGAGGATCTATAATGAGATGGAAAAAAAAACAACTCTAAAAGACAGTGTATAATTTAAATGTCATATAAGATAGTAGCTAATAAGAAAGGAGAAGGTAGGGACAGGAATCCCCAAGTATTGGGATAATCAAGGGAGGAGCTTTATGCAGGAAGTAGAACTGGGATTGGTCCTTGAAGGCAATAGACAGGTAGGCAATAGAGCAGGCTAGGCTAAGGGAACAGCTTACTGGTGAGAAAATGCTGGCCAAGTTAGAGAATGTTTAACAATGTAAATATTTTGAATATATGAGAAAGTATGTATTTATTTTGGCAAGGTTTTTATGAGAGGTAGAATGGTATTTTTTCCATGTTTAAGGTACTTTATAAATAAATTGTTTAAAGATGCTGAAACCAAGCATTTCATAAATCTGCAGTTATATTCTCAAAGCAGGAATGGCAAGTAGCTGTCCACGCAGTGCAGAGAAGCAGTGAGTCTAAGAGAAGCGAAGCTGCCTAAGGCCCTGGATAAGTGTTCTGATGGTACCTTTGTCCTGCTGAATGTTTAGAATATAAAGTACAGCTTTGCACTTTTTCAAATCTAAGTTAGATACAGGTATACAAAAATATTCACCCAGTGCCTATATGTGCCAGGCATTGTTCTGGGTACTTGATTATGAAGCAACCAAAATGTGTACATGCACCCCACAGCCCCTTAAAGCATCGTCTAAGAATAAGTCAGTTATTTGTTTTCCACAACTTCTTAACTATGTTTGATTTATCTAGATTGCCCATAACGTACTTATTAAATTGTCTAGTGATCAGGCAGTATGTAGTCAGCTTGCATACTTCATTCTATACAGAATCATGTTAAATAGATACAGGGTGGAGCAAAAGTAGGGTTACAGTTGTTCATATGGAAAATAATACAATAATCTATACTAATAAAAGGGTAACATCTTCCAGACATCTGACTTCCTTCTGGACATTTAGGGGGTGAACAGGCTGGCAGTAGGGCAGTTAGAAGGTGACCTGGCCAGCAGGGAGGCAGATAGGGAGTGAATAGACTGGCAAGCAGAGGCTGTTAGGGGCGATCAGGCAGGCAGGTAGAGTGGTTAGGGATGATCAGGCAGGCGCATAGAGTGGTTAGGGGCAATCAGGCAGGCAGGCAGGCAAGTGGTTAGGAGCCAGCGGTCCCAGATTGCGAGACTGGTGTCTGACTGCCGGTTTAGGCCCCATCCCTGTGGCAGTTGGACTTCCCCCGAGGGGTCCTGGATTGGAGAGGGTGCAGGCCGGGCTGAGGGACGCGCCCCCCCCCCCCCCGTGCACGAATTTCATGCACCGGGCCTCTAGTTAATAAATAATACAAGAATGAACTCTGTTTTGAGTACTAACAGCTATAAACCTACTTTTGCCCCCCTGCATATAGCGTATAGTGGTAATAGGAATACTTTGGATTAGAATTATTTACTAACTAGAGGCACAGTGCATGAAATTCATTCATGGGGGAGTCCCTCAGCCCACCTGTACCCTCTCGCAATCCGGGACTGCTGGCTCCTAACCGCTCACCTGCCTGCCTGCCTGATCGCCCCTAACTGCTCTCCCCTGCTGGCCTGATCGCCCCTAACCACTCTCCCTGCCAGCGTGATTGCCCCTAACCGCTCTCCCCTGCTGGCCTGATCGCCCCTAACCACTCTCCCCTGCCAGCGTGATTGCCCCTAACCGCTCTCCCCTGCTGGCCTGATCACCCCTAACCACTCTCCCCTGTTGGCCTGATTGCCCCTAACTGCCTCTGCCTCAGGCCCCGCCACTGTGGCTTTGTCCAGAAGGACGTCCGCAAGGACGTCTAGAAGACATCCGGTCTATCTGGTCTAATTAGCATATTACCCTTTTATTAGTATAGATACTTCATTATTAAAATGAAGAAAACAAATCTTTTTTTTTTTCATTGTGGCTTGGAAATTGTGCTCCATTTCTTTATTGGGTAAAAAAAGAACATGAGGTGGGTGGATCAGTGCCCCTACCTTGTTCTTCTGTTAACTTTTTTGGTGTTAGTTTTTATGCTTTCTAGAGAAACCCTTGCTGTGTGTTTCCTTTTTTTCTTCTTTTCTTTCTCTGTGCATGCAAGGAAGGTTAATGTAGAAATCAGGGAAGAGAAGGTGAGGGGAGCCCTTCCTCTTTATTTCTTTCTATACTTTTGCTATGTGATATGGAAATAGGGTGATTGATAACTTACATGAAAGGTACTTAATAAAGAACATGAAAATGACTGCACTACACTGTGCTATTACTAGTAAATTGATAGTAGTAGAAAAGTTGCAAGAAAAATTAGAGGTAGTGGAGCAGATGGCCACCGGAGGGAAAGTATAGAGAAGAATGCTGCTGCTGCTGATAAGCTATAATTAGAGAAGTCATTACCCGACTAGAAGACTAAAATTGTTAAAAATCAGCTACCTCTTGATCTCATCTTTTTAGGGAATCATAGGGAAGCAAGAATAAGGTAATCTTTTGACTTTCATTCCTAGGTCTTTTTGCTTTTTATCACAATTTCTGACTGAGCATAAAATACATCTCAGACTTCTATCTCCCCAGGTGGCACAAAATGTAAAACAGGCCCAAGGGCTGGATAGCAAGACCACATTCATCCCCTTTGCTGCCAGACTCTACAGTTTACTTCTGTATGTACTTAGATCAGATCTTTAAATCTGTTCTCCCTCTAGATTGAGCTGACTCTTAACCTGTCTCTGACCTCTGGAAGCTAGCAGCTTTGCTAGAATGTTCATCCAGCTTTCTGAGAGCAGAATGCACTTGTACTGAGAGTACAGTTCTATGTTTAGGATTTTATTGCCACAATTAAAACACAGATCAGCAAAGTAATAATTCTATATTTCTTCTTCTCTCGAATGTCTACCTATTTTAGAGACATAAGGGGACTCCCTTTTTTTTTAGAAAAAAAAGCAGTGAACAACTTTCCTTTTGTCGTTTTTGCCTGGGGACATACACAGAAATCAAAACAACTGCAACAAATGAGTGGAAAAATCAGTTATTTTGCAAAGTAAAGCTGACCTCTCTCCCTCCTTCTCTCTCTCTCTCTCTCTCTCTCTCACTCTCAATGGTGAGAAAATGAACATTTGTAATGGGAATTTAGCTTCAGGGAAGATATTTATTACCGGAGGACACAAAGTAAAATAAAGAGACCAGAGTTGTTTATTTTATAAAACAGAAGTGGTTGGGAGCACACTGCTCTTTCTGGGATAACAGTCCGTTTCTCTAGCAGTAACAGCTCATTTTGTCCTGTTTCAGTATAGTAATTTTAGTACTTTGAAACTTTGAAATTTATTCAGAATAACAGTTTTATATTTCCAAGCACAGATTGTCATTGCCAGGAAAAATAAACTTAATTTTCCAGGTCATTTTGGGCCACTGTGGCTAGAGCCAGATTTTGTATTGAGTTAAAATAGAGGGGGGAAAAAATGAGAAAATGGTCATAGAATTGTTAACATTATTGTTCTGGAAAAGTAATGATATGTGTATATGTGTGTGGAGGTATGTATGCTGTGTTTTTAAGCAACTGTGGTTTTAAAACCTAACGAGAGAAGAAGTAGGAAGCTGTGTAATTCTTGGAGAGACTATTCACTTGGATATTGTTATCCAAGATAGGTTATTAGGAAAAACGGTTTTAAAAAAAATGTTACTATGACTCTTGAAACAAATTTGCATTTGTGAACTTATAGTCCAAAATACTTTTGTTGGCTAGCTATGGAAGGTTACAGAGTTTACTGAGGTGGG